TCATGTTGCCCAAGGCTCTGTCCAACCTGGCCTTGAACATTGCCAGAGATAGAGCACTTACCACTTCTTTGGGCACCCTGTGCCAGCGCCTCAACACCCTCACAGTAAAGAACTTCTTCCTTATATCTAACCTCAACTTCTCCTGTTTCATTTTGAACCCATCACCCCTTGTCCTATCACTACAGTCCCTGATGAAGAGTCCCTCTCCAGCATCCTTGTAGGGCCCCTTCAGACACTGGAAGGCTGCTCTGAAGGCTCCACACAGCTTCTTTTCTATAGAAAGTTCTTCTGAGGATTTTATCTGTCCGATTTGCACCTTCTTTCATATCTAGCTGGCTACTTCAAAAACTCTGCTTTTTTTCACATGCATTGAAATAACTTAGTTTAACTTCTTTTGCTGAAACCCTCTCTCTGCATGCCCAACTGCACCAGCAGGGCCTTGAGGGTCCCCTACTTTCAAAGGGCTGCTACTCATCTTGGCACAGATGTATGCCTGGGCTTTACAGAATAAATGAAAGCTGATTCTCTGCCCAGGAGTGCTTACAGCATAATGTCCTGCTTGTATATCACACACTGAGAAAGGGACTTGCATCACATTCTTTAACATCTCAAACCAGTATTGCTTTAGTTCCGCTCTTTAGAAGCTAACAACATTTGTTTCTTTCCTAACAGAATAGGAAAATATTACAGTTGAAGATTTTCAGTACAGAAAGAAACTGGTTTTCACCCTGCTCAACAGATACTCATCCCTTTCCAGCAGTGGTTATGTTGCTATTGTGTACACTGAAAGAACCATGCATCCATCCTCTCTGAAACACTTGAATTTCTTTAAAAAGCAAGAACAGAGGTTTTCTTTATTATGAATTATACCCGTTAAGAGTTCAGACTCCTAAGCTTTGCCCTGCAAGTTGAATGGACGGGTGCCTCTGTTACAAATGAAAAGCAGAGGAAACACCAAATGTCACCAGTTATCGTTAGAATAAGGATGCTCTTCTAAAGCAGAGCATAAAATCCTTCCAGCCTCAAAAGATTCTCTTCTCTGCATTTAGCTAAACCTGCTATCCTGGTTTACTGTATATTTATCCACCTGAGCACACATTTCCTATTAACTTGTATTAAGCTGTCTAAACATAATTTTAAGGTATAAAAAGATTTTCACATGAGGGAGAGATGCCATCTGCAAAACCCTTTGCTGATATGGTTGTTCTCTGTTCATCTTGATGCCCTTTCCTTAATCCTGTTCAAGGCTTTTGAACAAAAGGCAGCAAATGAAGGGGTTTAATGACACAAATTTGCTTTTACCAATTTTACCCAATTCTGCCTTAACACTGCCCAATTCTACAAGTCGCTCTTCTGCAGAATAGTCAGGGCTATGGAATTTGTGGAGTCCCACTCAGTAAAGAATAAAATGAGGTAGCAGGATTGTTTGTGCACACACATATGTGTGTGTACGTACAGCTCCTCACTGTTAGACATTCCCCCTTCTATACTGCACAGAGACTGACATGACAAACACCGATTTGAAGGAATACAACCATGCCTGTGTGGAGAAGCAATTATACTGGATGAGGAGAGACCCTTTGGACTTGTATTGGTTCATATGCCTCTGTCTTCCTAGCACACCCCATAAGGAAAAGTACTGGATGGGTCAGTCAAACAGCAGCAGAACAACCTTAGGATACATTGTCAATATTAATAATGAGGATTATATTTAATGGGGATAACCTGCTAGACTACCTCTAGGCAAGTTAATCCCATTTTAGCTGACTCATTAGCCTGGTTACAGCAGCACAGGGATGGTGTTAGGCTGATCCGAGTTTCAGGAGTGGCTCCGTTAGGGTTAGTGTGCAACATAACTCAGTCTGAAAGTCACAAACTGGGCTCTAAATGCAAAACTTGATGTGATTCTGGATGACCTTAGACTCAAAGACAGAGCTTAAAAAGTGATCCATGTTTTCTCAGCATCTCTCCCAACTGACCTACCTCCAAAACGGATATAAGCCTCTTACTTGATACAGATCTCCCCAGTTTTGCATAGGCAGTTCAAGTGTGCCTTTTTTCCCCCCTTCTGTCACTATGCTTTATGGGATTAGAAAACGACCTACTTAATGTTCAGTGTAACTTCACTTATAAAATTTTAAACCAGATACAAATTTTACACCTGTTTCCATTTCATGGGCACCCATAAACCCCCCCCCAAAACTTCTGCTGTGTTAACACGACTTCAGCCATGACTGAAATACACCACACTGACTGCTATGCACATTTCAATTTTATAATCTCAGCACTAGTATATTAAAATACTTCTGAAAAAAGCCCACCCACTTTAATCTATGAATAGAAGCCAGGGAATCTCTATTAATTCTCAGGCTCTGTCTTTTATTATTTGGCATTATCAGCATCGTCTCCATAGGTCGCAATTCCATTCTGCAAGGATCTGCAGTGTAAATAACACCAGCATAGTTCCATTCCAGGAACTGTATACAAACAGTACACAAATTTTACAAAAGGCACCTGAAAATCATCTAGCACCTCCAAGATAAATCTGTGTGTTCTTAAATTCAAATCCTCCTGGTACTGGTATCAAGAGAAAATTAGGTGTGCATTAATTGGAGCTTGAAAGATGCTCCGATAATGCTATTGCAGGCAAAATGCAATTACATGCAAGACTATTAAACAGTGGAATATTTTTCATTTGAATTTGATTTGTAACACTTGCAAACATGCAGATACATCGTTGAGAATACTTGAAACTAAATCCGGATTCATTTACTACACTAGGCTCCCCGGTTAAGACTGTGCACCACCTCCTTGGAGAGATCATTAAATGATTACAAGAATTACCAGTCACACCATCTGTGATTTTTTTTCCTTTCCTTCTCTTTTATTTCTTTAGAACTACCCTAAAGATCCCAGCTGAATAACTGAGGGGTATTTTTAAGTGCTGCCTAAACCCAGATGCAAACACTAGTTTAGATCCACAGCACATTCCATGTTCTAAAGGAATTCTGTGCTTTAGACAATGCTGTGCTGGTATAGGGTATACCTGTGCAACCTTAAAAACACAGAAACCAGAATTCATTAATTCTGCTGTTTATTTGGGATAAGACAACATCAGGACGCCAAAGCTCTACCATCAGATCCAGAGGGTTTATGTGACATAGCTACTACAGTAAATACCAGACACGATGGATAATCAAGACCCTTGGGCTTTGAACTGTAGTTCGATCAGTCACGATTTGACTTTGGACAAATTGCTCTGTTCACTTTAATTGACCTTTTCATATAGGAAGATTAAAAACTTCATGACTCCCTAGTGTTTATAACAGGAGTTTAATAATTTCAATGCTTCCCAAAGTCCTCGGCTAAAAGGTGCTAGGCAAGTTGCAGTCAGCTGTTACTACCCAAAGATTAATTTTTGACTTCAATATGAAGCCACACAAGCTCTAAGGAGATAGCAATAAGCATGGAAGGGAACTATCTACAAAAAGCAGTATGAAAGTCAGCTTTTTTCGTACAAGCAAAGAAACATTTAACCCTGCAGTTTCAAAGAGTCAGCACACACAAAGGGGAGATCACTGATATGCAAGTGGGAACCTAAGAGCCATTTGACAGGCACAGTGTGATGATTTCCAGGTACCTCACTGGCCTAGAAGCTGCACACGAGGCCGACAAACCAGACCATATGGCAGCTCACCACAGGCTCCCTTCTTTAGGACTGTGGAGACCATAAATATTGCTGAGGTCACTAACTAAGCAAGCCAGGGTCAGGCAGCAGCTGCAGCATTGAAAGTCTACCCTTCCCTAGCTTATGTTACAGACTGGCATTTGGAATAAGCTTCAGGGATTCTTCCAGCTGCCCCAGCATGAATAAGGAAAGGATCAGTTGACTCAACAGTTTGGATAAAGAAATGTTTTAGCTCCTCTGAGCTGGCTCCCTGTCCTGCCTTCATGTTTCAATCAGTTTAGGAAGCACAGGAGAAGTTACATTTTAAGAATAGGCAAGACTATAATAAAAGGAATGTCTTCCCTATACAGAACTTGGCCATTTTATCTCAAGAGTTTTAGTTAAACCTGGGCAAACCCCTAAGGCGGACACATTCAGTTTAAACCGATGACCTATCTGGGTTCGTCTTGAGTCAAATGAAAACAAGCTATGGGTAAAATGTCAGTGAAACCTTTTGTAAGGTTAATTAACCAACTTTAATCACACCTTACTCTATGAGCAAATAACACCTCAAACTACTCCATCTAAAACTGCTAAAGCTCATCACCCTCCACTGTTCACGAATAGTTGAGGCAGTCACCCACTGAAGACTTTTGTCAGTGCTTATAGACAGCTTGATCACAAAGTCAGCTGGTTAACATTACTCAGTGCTACCACCATTGTCACAGTAATAGTTTGTCTATACTAAACGTATGCAACTCTGCACACAAAAGATTGCTCAGCTCTGATTAACTCATTTTCACAGAAGTTCCACACCTAGCAGTTTGCAGAAGCCAGGTATTTCTCCTGGAAGCAGAACTAAGCTGTGATGATTTCTTTCAGTGCTTGGTTCTATGAATGCCCTATTGAAAATTCAAGTTGCTTAATTTGTCTTTTTTTTTTTGATTACTAGCACACCAAAAAACTCCACACTTGAAGTCCCATTTCATTTGTTCTTCATCAGCTGGTTGCACAGATGCCTGAATCATTTGTTCATTAGAGGCACAGGAGACTTATGGCTGGGTGCACATTTGGCCTGCTTTCCCTTGCCTGGTCAGCATGAGTGCAAGCCACACAGCACAGGAACACTAACACCTCAGTTGATGGAAATACTTGTCCCACACATTACCTGAAGTTTTTACCTGGTGACTTTTCAGCTTCTGCTTTTCTTTAAAGAAAGTAATTCCAAGGCTGTTACTTCTAATGAGCATTACACCAAGGGTCAGAAAGGCAGCACTTTGTCACACAGTGCATCTGGTGGTATGACATGTGTGGTTTTGTTCTGTTCACTTACATTTTCTGGTGTGCAGTCTGTGGGATGCCTGGAGTCCTCTTTCCATGAGCGACAGCAGTTGAAGATGGTTCCTTTCAGGCTGAAATCAAAGATCCTGTAAAAACCTATAGAGAAAAGGCAGAGAAAAGATGAGGATATGAGTGTGATTCCTCCAGGAGCAAAAGCAGCACAATGATATAGAGGTGTTTCAGGTTTGTTTTCATGACAATATTAGCCCCTACCATCAGCAACATTCACTTATTCGTAACCAAGAGGCTAAAACATAGAACATCAAAGCTTTGACGACAGCTTGTATGGTCTCCAGGGGCGCAACTGCTCATATGTGGCTAAAAACATGAGTTCAGTTCAAGGCCAGCTTGGTTTGGTTTCACAACCCTATTCCCAACTTTATTTGCTCATTTCTTTGTAAAGGAGGTTTTAATCTGTGTGTGTCGGAGACTAAGGTCTTGCTGCTAATGTTGCTATGGAAAAATCCTGCCAATAGACACTGGAGGTTTGCTGGAGCTTTCATAAGCTATTAAAATTGAAGTCTAAAAGGTACATGGGACTTGAGAGGGAGAATGTAAGCAAGATTAGTACACTGAGTTAAAAAATAAGTAGAGAAATTAAAGGGTTAGCACTGCCCTGTTTCTCCCAGGTATCTGCTGTGACATGCAGTCACCCATCAACCAACAGAGTCCTCTGGAAAAGATGTGATAAGGAACGGAATAAGTAGAGCAATCTCCTCCTCCAGACTTTTGTCACACATGGCAAAAACATTCATTTATGTACAGTTGTCTACAGGAAACATACTGGGGGCTGGCTGGGATTTTATTAGGAAAATACAACCAGGATGACATGATGCACAGACACAAAGAACTTCTTCTTCCACACAAAAATAAGAGTCTTACAAGAAGAGAACACCTGGGAGGTCAGTTTGTAAATAGAGCCCACTTGGCATGAATGTCAGCCTTAAGCAAGCTCAGATCCTGGGCTGAGTGCACACCTGAATTTAAATACCCTCAGGCTGAATTTCATGTCTGGGCTCCCCTATTTCAGGTCTTCCAAGAGTTGAGTCAAGCACTTTTGAAAACGCACTTGCCACCAGCCTCACGAAGCTCTTCATAGCAGATTCATAATTAATGAACATGTGAGGTTGTGGCAGCTTTAATGATCTCCGACTTCCTCGAGCTTTATTTATTTTCTAAGGCCTTCCCTCTTCAGTGACTGTCATCCTAGTCAAACCCCCGGTTTATAAATGGGATGTGACAAGGTGAAATAGAGCCTGAAGTGACGGCTCTCATAGGAGAAGGCATTGCGGAGCTCTGCGGCTGCGAGCACGAGGGAAGCACTGCTAAAACCCTGACGTGTACTTTGCATGCAGAATGCAGCAATGGTGGGGGGGGGTCGGGGTCTTTACTGCTACCTGCCTGACCCCAAACTTGTGCAAACCTGTTTTTTTTTCGACTCCTAAGCCCAGGAAAATAAAGCTTCATTTAAGGCTTCCTCTTAATAAGTCCTGTTCTGAGGGAATTTTCCTAACTGGATGTTAACCAAGTTTCCTTCATTTGGAGGGAAGGAAATACTACATGTATTAGTCAACTGATCAGTGCCTCGGCTTTGTTGGGGTTTTTAAGCCTAGCATCCTTTCAGGATTATTTTACCTTCAAAAGAATCAAAATGCCTCCCCTTACACATATCAAGGAGCAGGAGAACTTTAGGGTGAATCTAAAAACAACAGGAGGCTTTCAGACTCAAGAGAGACAAAAGAAAACCAACAGAAGCTTCAACATGCACAGCAAATCCATTCTGCTTATATAAGCACTAAACAGTCACTACCTGAGCAGCATATGCAGCAAGCTTGCTTCAGCAAGAACTGCTTTCCAAATTACAGAAAATGATGATTTCTCAGGTCAGGGAAACTAGATTCTAACTGCTGCTCCTTGAGCTCTGAAGCACCTTGTTGTCACACAGCAGAATGGTAGTCAACAGACTTTAGGCTACAAATAACCTTACAGGTAAAGAAAGCAGATGCTTACCAAAGGACAAAGGCAGGACATTGTTCCCGAAACCTGTATTTTCTTTTGGCAGGATGAATGCATCAGCAACACGGTATTGATTCTAGCAGGGTTTGAAGTGAAAATTATGTAGCTTCTGGCCTAGGCAAAGCAGCACCAGCCACTTATTTAAAGAAGAAAATCCCAATCCCCAGACTCTTAGGAAAAATACACAGAAATTCCAGCCAGAAAGCTGTTGAACATTGTCTGCCTTTTCTTTCTGGTCTAAAGAGAACCGAAGGGAAAGAGAGGTGTGAAAAGAGGTAATAAAGAACACAGGACTAATCATTGCCATTGGCCAAGCAGTGCAGAACAAGAAGTTTATGAGCCTTCAATGTTGCTGCACTCCGAGCAGTGTCTCTAAATAAAGAGTACTGCGGGGGTCCACATTTGTCAGAGACTCCCAATAAAATGCACTGACCTTAAACATCAAGAAGTGGGCTGGATTTCCCTCTCCACTCCTTATTTACTCACTGTTAGAAACTCAACTCTGTATTACAAACCAAAACAACATTCTGTCCAATCTGAGCGCTAGAAATAGAGATAACAGGATCGAACCTGTATTCTGCTCCAGTTTTTGTACCAGAAGCCTCAATTCCAAGGAAAAGCCAACAGGACTGTATAAAATGGCCTTCTTTTTGCCCCATTCTGCCTTTCATTACACCTGAGCAATTCCATTTTAACTGAGGAAGTAACATGCGTGTAATTGAAGACATAATTTTGCCTGAAGGTCCTCAAGTATCAAGAGACCCGAGTGTGCTGAGCTTTAACCACATGGTTAAACATTTTGCTGAGCTCAGACTTTATCTAATGGTTCTGTTGAAGATATACCAAGCACTAGACTCCAGCGAAATGAGGTGTGCAATTCAAGTAGTTCAAAGGTTCAAGCATGTGGACTTGCATTTACTGCAAAATATAAAGCTGCACCTGAAATAACATCTGTGACCTGCAAAGCTGACCAGAGGGTTCTCAAGGTCTTTGCAGATATAACCCTGAAATATATGTCATTTCACCATTTGAAAGCAAGATAGCCTTACAGCAACATTGTTTTGTTATGACAATATCCTCTGCCTTCCTGATATAAATGAGATTCAAAACCAACACTACGGCTGAATTTAACATTCAACAACTTCTGCTTACATCTTTGCACGGTGTTAGCATGCTGGAATAAAGATCTTGTACGCTCTCAGAACACAGTAACATGTTGTCCTTACTATTATAAACATCTGACAGTGGGAAATGAGGCTCCTTGCTCTAAAACCCAGCAAATTCCAATGCTACAGAGCCCCCATTTCCCTAGTCACTAAATTGGAAACTGTATTCCACTGAAGCAGGAAAAGCCTCGAGAGCCAGAACACAATCATAACCTCTTGCGGAGGCACAACTGCTTCTGATGCATTGTCCATCACTGCTATTCAAGACCCAGATTAACTAAGACTCCTAAATACACACTGCAAATAAAGGCAGTACTCATCTCACACATTTATAGGTAGGGATATAACTGAAACATAGTCTAAGTGCTTGGAGACTGCTTAGCTGACAGCTCATTTGCAAAATACACTTGATTCACCACCACAGAAAACAGTTTTTACATTTCTAGCACACAAAGACTGAATTCTTTATGCAAAAAGAACACTGACTGCAGCAGGTAGTGATGAAATCTCTCCCATCTCTCTAAACAACCTCATTCTACTGCCTCATCATCTCATTAAATCTCAGATGATTATTAATTATTTATTCAATTATCAGTCATTATTATTGCAGGGGAGAGGGAGGGTTTAGCAAGAAATGAAGGAGAGTTTTAAGCTCACTGCTTTAAGATTTCTTTGTCTTTAGCAAAATTACTCTGACATGAAATCTCTTTATTTGACATCAAATCGTTATTTATGGGAAAAAATGGAATTTCAGAACTACACAGAAGTTCTTCGTGAAGCATAGAAACATAGGAGCCCCCTTTTTCTGTTCTAGCATTAGCTTCAAATCGGAACGAAGCCCTTGCAAAATACACTAACCAAATGAGAAATAAATAGGTGGTTTAGACTTTGTAACAGCATAATACAACCACTTTTATGCTGGGTGCCACAGTATTTGTATAATGATCAGTGAGTACTACTTCTACCCAACCCTCAGAATAGTAAAGACATTTTCTCTTTGTGCATGCTACCCATTAACATCAAGTGTCTCCCACACCTCTTTCAATACAAGGCTACAAAGATCTGCACATCCAGGCTCCCTGGAGTTGCTATACTAAAAATACATCATAGCATTACTTGGTAACAGTAGTAACAAGAAGGAAATCGCACCGATATACAGGATTTTCATAGTGAGGATTCGCACACGTGAAAATTCACGTAATTCTGACTACTTTTGCTCTGCTGTTGCTACTTCAAGAGTATTTCTGGGACTCTCAGGGCTTCTAGAGTACACATGGACAATCTGTACTGGAACAGGAGTCCGACTGCTCAGGCGGATTTTGTCCAGAATGCAGTATCATACTTTGCTTAGGCTGGTTCTCACTTTCTTCCCTGGAACCTTAATGAATGGATTTCCCATCCCATCCAAGGACATTCATTATTCCAGTTTACAAGTTAGTTATGCTTCACTCCATACAGCTAGTTTGTTCCTTTCCTGCAGGCATCTTAATTCCTATTATTCAGCAGGCTAGCCCAAATGAAAATCACTATCGCTATGGTTAACATTTAGAGGTTTAGTATTGATTTATGCCTTCGGTGAAGAGGTTAATTAAATGTGAATTTTAAGCTGGCAACATGATGAGGGGAGTGAGGAAAGCTGAATTCATGAATACTTCCAGAGCTGCTTACACCATTTAAAATGAAGAATAACTGGAAAAACCTTGCCTGTTACTGGCAACTGGCTTAATGTGATTCTGAGGACTGTAAGGGAAATAACAGGCGGACCCAGGTGTTCTAGTCCAGCTGGGGGTTTGTTTCGTATTGACATTAGCACTGAATTTAACACCTTATTGTAAACTGCTCTTGTAAATTCTGCTTTTGTTTCTTGCCTTTTCCTCCTTTTGCCCTTTCAGCAATCAATCCTGGAACTGTACAGACTACTGGCTATACAAACCTTGAACTCTGTCTCACTGCAGACAGCACATGCTCTAGAACAAGCTACTGAATTACCCTAGCTGGAAGCTTGGAAAGATCCTGGATCCATAGCTCCAGCTAACAGATGCTCAGCAAAGCCAGAGGAACCAGATTTGCTCATTTATTTTAGAAGGAATCCTGTTAAGATAGTCTACCTCCACCAGGTAGTTCCACCTAGTTAAAACCACAAAACTATGCTCTTGAGTTCAAGCAAACTAGGAAATGATGAAGTTAATGCATTCTTTCCTTTCCTATGTGTATTCTGTTTCCTTATTGCATCTTTACAGAAAGCATACAAGAGTTTGCTGATACAAGCAAAGAGGAAATTCTATTTAACTTCACACACTACTTTTAGAAAGAAGCAGTAAACTGAACAATACCTAGAGGTGAGAGAGGAATGAACATATAAAGCAGCAACACTTATTACAAGAGACATACACCCTGACACAGTAAGATTCAGCACTGGAAACAAGTAAGATTTCAACTGGGGAAAGGAGAAGAATAGGAAAAACAAAAAAGGCAGCTCAACTGTGAGCAGCCCCGTGCTGCCTCCTGCCATCCATCCAAAGCTTGCTGTCACTTAGCACCACCACTGAGCTCTGTGGTGGCAAGCAGAACAGAATTCCCTACCAAACTGGACTGGCTCCCCTCTCACTCAGACTTCTCACCACTACACTACAGTCTGCAACACGGGTGCGTGTAGTTAGGAAAACAATTGCACTTCACACCACTCATTCTGCACGCCCCTGGCAAAAGACCTCCTCGCAATGCAAATGCTCCATCTCCTGCTATTCATTTAAACTGTCCTTGTCTTTCCCTCTCCATCCTTCATAGCAGCACATTGCTAATAACAAAGGGCAGAGAAAAGGCCAAAACTGGTTATTTATGCAGTACATTGGCTCGACTAATTGAAAGAAAAATGTGCTCAACTGCCATTCCTTTTCCTTCCCTCATCACATGAAGCCATAGGCTTGTGCAGCTTCTTCTATTAGTGCTATATCTGCAAATCTCTTTGGAACATTGCACGACAGCGATCAGCAGTGAAGTGTTACATTCAGTCTTTGCCCTTGGCATACTGTGCATGTCTTGATAGAAAGACAGAGACCATGCCTGAACCCCTGAATATTTGTAACAACCTGTTGATATTTGCTTTCGGGTGACTAATGGGGGAAAAGCCAACAAAACATTACTGAGGTGTTTTTAATTCCCTGTCCTCTCATATTGGGCTGCTTATCTATTCTTTTTAAAGGTTAAGCTGAGAAAGATTAACCTGTGGAGAGGCAGTGTCTGATTAAGTACCAAAAAATGAATACTTGCACTGATTTGGAATAAGATCAGAGGCAACACAACAGTGTCAGCATGAACAGACAGAAGAAAGCTTGAGCCCCTGTGCCAGCTTGCCAAACTAGTGATAGAGATCCTCTAGTGCAGTGCTCTGTCCAAGCCAACAGAATCTGAGCAAAACACAAACAACGACAGAAAACACACAACCCCCCACGAGAGAAGCTGCATAAACAGGAGCAGAGCTCTGATTTCCCTTATCCCAAGCCAACATCTGCCTATTCACCAGTTCTGTGCCCATCAGGGCATGCTCATTGCCATACAGTACCAAAATTCCTTCTAAATCAATCACCCAAGATCCCAAAAGCAGTTTACCTGATACATTTGCCTGTATGCAGTGCTACTACAGCTGGATTGCTGAACCAACACAGTATATTTAGGGCTGTATATGTATATATAAATACACACACCCTTACCAGTCCCAAAGAATTCCCAAATAAATAGCTCACTCACTGCATTAATCCTGTTGCAACAGGAACAACTACACTGTAAACTGGTGCCACATCAGCGCATGCATATACAGCTCTCCATCCTGATTATGCATGTGCTGCTTCTGTAATTGTGTGTGAATACAGTAAGACAGCAGCTATCTTGAGATTCTCGTTTCTTTCAGAATACTTTTAATAGTCCTCTGATATTTATTTTCACACCACACATTCTTCTTAATAAATTCAGGTGTGTTTTTTTTAACTCAAAATCCTACTCCATCAGCATGTCTGAAATCAGTAAACAAGAGTTATTGTTTTCTGTAGTGCTCTTTGGGCACCAGGGCTGGTTCTGCTATTTGCTGTCATTTATCATAGAATCATAGACTGGTTTGGGTTTGAAAGGACCTTAAGATCATCCAGTTCCAACCTCCCGCCGTGGGCAGAGACACCTAACATGAGACCATGTCACCCCAGGTTCTGTCCAACCTGGCCTTGAACACAGCCAGGGATGGAGCACTCACCACTTCCCTGGGCACCCTGTGCCAACACTTCACCACCCTTACAGGGAAGAACTTCTGCCTTATATCTAACCTCAACTTCCCCTGTTTCAGTTTAAACCCATCACCCCCGTCCTATTGATACAGTCCCTGATGAAGAGTCCCTCTCCAGCATCCTTGTAGGCTTATTCTGTCCCATTTAGCCCTTCTCCCTGTATACTCTAGAGAATAAATGACACTTGATTTTATTAATTTGCTTTTCACTCCCAATTATTCCATGAACACCATATTAAAGCATCAGTTGACAAAATACCTTTTCTTATATATGTAATGTTTTACCTCAGTCTGTTCATTAATTTCCTGGGCTGACCACTGAACTTGCAAGTTGGGTTTTGTTGGTGGTGGTCATTTCTATCACACAACTAAACTGTTCTTTTTCTGTTGTCCAAAAAATTTTCTTGTGCAATCGTTCTATTTCATGAATAGCAGATTACAACTTTGCAGGACACTTGAAGTATAAATCCTGGAAAGACACACCAATTTATTTGGGTGGGTTTCCCTTCTGTCCATGTTCTGTGTGGGAAAATTTCTCACTGAAACATGGAGAAAAGAAAGGAATTGCAGATAAGAGAAATGTGTCGACAATGATGGACTTTGCTAAGGCTTTAAGCACAGTAACTGGTACAGGATTCCTTGAGGTTCATGCTGATTTTAACTTCCTATCCTGGGCATGCAGCTTTCATGCTCAGAACACACCTAACTCCCACCTCAACTCCAAGTCTGAAAAACTCATGTGTGTTACCAGCATTCCTTTCCTTCACCCTACTAAGATACTGATCCTTTACAGCTCCTCCATGATCTTGCCATGTTTTCACACTGAAAGTCAAACATACCAGATTCTGACTCACTAAGAGGAAAAAAGAGCAAATCAGATCTATTTTGCTAGAGCTTAGTGCATGTACAAGTCTTGTATTAAATTGAAGCGTACCAAACCACACAAATTAAACTTGTGTAAATGTTGAGATGTCCTTACTTCAGCCTAGTTCAGATACTCCTCAGCTGAACTTAGTTTTATTAGGTGTTAACATTCTATATACTACTTTAAACAGGTGGAAAGAGAAAGGTAAGTCATATGGTGCAGCGCTCCTGGAAAAGAAGGCTTGAGTGATGACAGCCCCAACATAGAACAGCAGAGATTCTAAGTATTTCAAATCAGGGAAAACTCATTTACACAATCTTATTATGCTTCAGCTTTTCCTGTCAAGCTGGAGACCTCTGCTCTAAAGTGCTATTTCTATTTAATCTTTTCAAGCAAACCGAATAGTTTCTCTTTGCTGAGCCAGATCAGTTCAAACCTATACAAGAGCTATCCCCAAAATTACATTCCTTTTACTTCCAGCCTGCTGTTCCACAGAGAGCTGCCTGACTTACCACCCCAAGAGAGATCCACAAATGTCACCAAAACCTGCAGAGCACTGACCTTTAAAGTCCTCTGCTAAACTGTGCAACATGTGGTACTCTGAATAACCAAGTGGGAGGTAAAGTGGAAAACAGCACCATTCTCTTCCTTACTTTGTGTACACGTATAAATTGGGTGTTAGTAAGTGATGATCATCATGAACATAGCAAAAATATTCTTCAGTGTCCCAAACCTTTGTTCACATGCCTCATGTACAATTTTCCTCAGCAAAAGAGGAAAAAAAAAAAGCATAGGATAAACCACTATTCTAAAGCATATACAATTTAAATAGAAGATGAGACAAGAAGCAGAAGTGAAGTACAATAGTCATCCTGGTGATGCTTTAGGGCAGCATTAAAATAGAGATGAAAGAGAGCAGGTTTTAGATGCTTGAGGAATGGGCTCCAGCTTTACTAGTTCTGCCTTTGTCACTGCTCTGTGCAAGACATTGTGTGCTTTATTTTGTTCTGTTTTGTCCATTTAGACTGTAACCTCTTCATTGTAGGAAGCACTTCTCAGAGTGTAGCTCAGCAGGATCTGACACGGTGGGCAAAGAAAGAAGAAAATATGTAAGCAGTTAATTTACCAGAAAGCTCCAAACCCTCAAAGTTCCAGGCATCTTTTTTCCCATGTTATGAATGCTGCAGAAAACGCGTTTTCTGGGCATCTCCAGCATGCAGTGAGCTCACATAGCACTGTGTTAACATGGAGGCTGTGATTTTTGTTTTATAAAGAAATTAACTTTGTAGTTAATCTGAACTTTTTTGAACTTCCAACACGTTATTTATGATAAGCCTTTATTACCTACAGTCAAGATTTAAACAACAACAAGAAATTTAACAAATTAGATATCAAAACACCAACTGTTAATACACCACGAATAGCTGACCAGATTGCTCTAGTGACAGAATGGGCACAAGTTGTCACAAGGCTAACAACTTATCATATGTTTTCCATTTTTTCTTTCTGTGCACGATGCTACTAACAGTGGGGGAAGTTTCCATCAGCTTCTAGGGGCAAGAGATGAAATGGAGTCCATCTGGGTAGGAATTCATTAGAAGTCCGATAATGACTCTGATCAGATGGATGAGGCCGCTGTTTGTAATGTAGGGCAGTTTAAAAACACTGGGAATCATAAACACGCATCCTTGAAGAAAGATAACCCCTAACTAGGCAAATTCACAAACACATAATAGTAAGATGAGGCTCTCTTTTTGGTGTGTACAAACTCAAAAGGAATAAAATATAGTGAAAGAATTCTTCAGGAATTGCTTGCAAGGTGTTTCTTCAACTGGGTCTGTCCTCAAATGCTGCTGCTCTTTATCCACAGTTACAATAATAAATTAACATAAAGATACCTTCACTCCAGGAAGGAATTTGCCCCAAGTGTAGTTTGACCCATAAGATGCAACGAGGATAATCAACAGGTAGGTGATGACCCATAAGCCAAATGTTTAAGCACATTTAGATAGCTCATGCCTGATAAACTGAAGAGCAACCCATTCATATATACTGAATAATCTGATCCCATTTCCATACAGATGTCTGAATTCCTTCCCTAAACACTTGGCGCTGGCACAGACCTCTGCAGTGTCAGTTCCAAAGCCTCTCTGTAGCTCTACTATGTGATGCCAACAGTGCATTTTGTTCAAGGTAAGATTTATCCATAGGCTTCTGTTTAAAGTAGAACAACAGAAACAGTTTGCAGATGTCCTCCATGTTAGCAGCAACACAGAGTAGGAATACTAGCCATAACTGGCAAACTTCAGAGGTTTAATTTCCCAGCATATTTATTTACTCAGCTATCATAAAATGCCCATCACCTTGACAACAAGGCATTTATTTGCAAATCTGGAAGCACAGAATGGCATAAAGATACCTATGCAGAGTGCAACGTTATGGGGAATGGCTCTCGCTGCTTTCTGAAAGGTAACTCCAAAAGAGTAGTGGGATGGAGAGGAAGAGAAGGAGAGAACATCACACAGGAGAGAGATTCGGAGACAGTTTGTTGCTTCTACCATAGCAGGAATTTGTTTGTGGGTATGTCTGAGAGTTGCAACCATCTGTACTTCTCAGTAACATGCTACATGCCATGGGCTTCAAGAAGTGTAAGCAGCAAGTACAGAAAAAGGGCCTCTGAAGGATGAGGCAAACCAGCGCAAAAGTAAAAACACAAGACTCGGTGTAGACCTTTGGCTGGTGATTCAGGACAGATTCACTCTGCAGACTCTATTCAGGATGATCCATGTGGACAAAACATAAACCTACCTGTGTCTAATCTACCAAAGATTCCATTAATCCAGAGCAGCTTACTATCACTCCAGAGAAAGCACCAAAATCAACAATCTACGTTTGAAACAAGGTTCCCTTTTCAGTGACATTTTTCTTTTTCTAAAATGAGACTTACTATGCTGATGAGAGCAACATCCAAATGGCAGCTAAGGCCTGAAGATCTTAAAGTCTTTGTGTGTGAAGACAGTGTACATTAACACATACGGGAAGAATTTTTAAGCTGATCTAATGAAGCACTCACAACCCGACTCTGCTGAGACACACATCCAGTACAAACAAGAAATCAAATCCACTAAATCTACAAGTCCAGCTGTCAATCCCCTGCACATCAGAACCAGCAGCTGTTCAGCACGTTATCACACACAGCCTTCCAGGAAATGAAGAGGCTGCTCCTCACAGGGTCTGTCACTCATCTGCTCTGACAAAGTAGTTTCAAACTTGGCTTGTGTCATTCATTTATCTGCATGAATCAAAACACTGTCCAAGGCATCTACTGCCTTTGGGTTGTGCAGCACCACAGACAAGCTGATCCATTATGATAAAGAAGGAAGAGGGACTCAACCTCCAATTCGTTTTCCACAATCACATACAGTAGAGGCAGGCCCAGGAGTCCCTCCATCACATCACTGCATCTCTTACTTGTCTGAGACCAGTATAGTAGCAGTACTTACTAAATGGCAACATGCAAAAATATCCAGACCATCTAAGCAACCTCCCACACACCAAAAATGTTAAAGACTAGTAATTTGGTTCACAGACATTAGCAGAGTATGAGCTACAGAAACATCTAGTTTTAAATTTGGAAACTCTCACAAGGCAGTTTTTGCAGCCTTTTACCCTCCCCTTCAAACCCAGGTTTTGTTCATCTGCCACATGCTGTATGTAACAGAGTATGATGTAAAGATAGAGCTGGTCAAAGAGGATCCCCCTCCACAAACACAACTTTGGGTTTTGATCATTATTTTAGATTTGTGGAACAAAAGGAAGGAAGAAATAAATCAGGACCCACCAATACATTCTAGTTGCATCATGACCTCTTCCCTACAGGTGGGAGGAACAGCCTTCCTAAAATGTGGCGCATTCACATGAGACATCTCTGTGATTACCTCACTGGTTTACACAGGGTCATTCTGGACACTGGAAGCTCAGAGAAACAAGTAGGGCTCTTTGAATTTTTACCCAATGTTATAAAATACAACTTCTTGCCATTAATAGCCCCCATGTAGCATCACCTCGGTAAGTACATAATATTGGTGAGCTTGAAGGGACACCTGCTGGCAACAGGTAACATTACAAACACTTGTGTTAGTACTGGCACAGGGAAAGACCATCAAATATTACAGCCTGTGATTGTGCAGTGATCAATACTGATCATAGCAATGATCAATACTTTGCTTAATTGAGGATTCATTTGCAATTGCATCAGGGTAACCCTATCCACCTGGGTTACAGAATCATAAAATGGTTTGGGTTGGAAAGGACCTTAAGATCATCCAGTTCCAACCTGCTGCCATGGGCAGGGACACTTCACACATGCCACCCAAGGCTCTGTCCAACCTGGCCTTGAACACTGCCAGGGATGGGGCATTCACCACTTCTCTGGGCATCCTCTGCCAGTGCCTCACAGTAAAGAACTTCTTCCTTATATCTAACCTGAACTTCCTCTGTCTAATTTTAAACATATTACCCTTTGTCCTATCACTACAGTACCTGTTACATGGCTGTCTTAAAACATGAATAAACGGAGCACTGCATCTTCAAAGCAGGCAGATGTTTAGCTAGAACCCAAAGGTATTGCCATGCTTCTCAGAAGGGCCCTGACAGCCAAGCAAAGCAGCTGAAGCAGAGGTAACCTTGGCAGGTGAAGGCAAGATTCTGCCTCAGCAGGAAATGTCTAGAGGTGACGTGGGAGAAGAGGTACACATCTCAAAGACATAAAGACATAGAGGAGTGAATTTCAACTGGAGTTAGCATCTTTGAGGATTTGGACAAGGAAGGAAAGAATAGGATGTACAAGACAAGATGTTAAGAGCATCACTAGGATATTTAGATGCCTCCCCACACCGAATTACTAAGAGTCAAAGGATCCAGAAATACACAGCCTGTCCTCACCACTGAGACTCCTCAAAGCAGGAACTGGACCATGCCCAGACACGGATGAGGATCCCCATGCAAATGTGAACACTGCTTATGCCAGAAGCTAAAAAAAAAATAGCACCAGGTCAACAAATCAGGGATGTGAACTCATCCTGCAGACAGTGAAAAACTTGCCTCACCAGACTGTTTCTGCAAGCCACAGTACTGGTTCAAAGCCTTCACTTTCCACCCCATCTTCAAAGCTATCAGAACTTTTCTATAACATGATGCTGTGCCTTGTCACATTCAAATGATGCAACACCAGTAGAAGGATACCTCCCTCTCCTAATTCAGCTTCTCATGCTTGTCTTGTAATACTGTACAGTGGGGAAGAAGCAACTTTTGCCTTAGATACACAGGGTAGCAGACATGACACTGTTGTTAATGAAACTATTTCTTCTAATTCTAAAAACCTAATGTAACTATATTTCTTCTTTTTGTCTGTATAAAGGGAGAGACTTTAACTCTTTGAATGCTCACATTTGCCATAAAAGGTCAACCTGCCTCAAAGCTGCCACATCCACACTCCTTCTTATACAAATCTATTAGCCAGGCTGCAGAAATACTTTGGATGTGGGTTTCTGCTATGAAAATAACAATCCTGACAGACAGCCTCTTGCACTGAAAACCCAAAGGCAAGAAAGCAGAAGTCGTCACCATGGTAGCACTAACCAACTAAACCACTAAAACAACAACCCTGCATGTAGCTGGGACAGGTAAAGGGACAGTATTTCAGAGGTACACCACATTTTAATGTCATGCTCTCTACCAGCAAAAGCAGGCAGAACATTAGAGAAAATGATGCAAACCCACCCAAACAGTGTGCCATATGTGTAGCTGTGCTTTAGAGTCTCCTTCAGCGCTTGTTCTACTGAATTATTGGGTGTCAACCCTCTTCCATGAAACCATCAGGGGTAAGGGTAGATTTCAAGACCACACTTGTCACTAAGGCTACATTTCTCCCCAATTTCTGCTTTAAATATTTCTCCAACCCTCAGAATGATGTTGATGAGCTGCTGTTTGTGCAGGTTTGACCTAAAAGACAGAAACTGAGAGCACAATGGTCCCATGCAATTAACAGGAGGAAAAAACTCCCCAAACCCTCTTTCTTAAGGTTTTTATTTCCAAA